TATATATATATATATATATATATATAATATTTATATATATATATATATATAATATTTATTATATATATATATAATATTTATCATACATATAAATGTGATAAAGCTTATCTTTGGTTTTTTTTTCTACCCAACCCGTCAGTATAGGCAAATTGTTAATATCGAAAAAAAAGTATTGCTTTATTGGACCTTATCAGAATGATGAAAATGTGTTATTTGATTTCACAATATAGCGTTAGAAATCAAGAAAATCAATGTTGGATTGCAAAAACAGGATAATCTCAGGATAATTTTCTCCCACTTATGGCAGTGAAGCACTTGGAAATTTCATTGGAATCCAATCCTTTCTTCTAGACAGGAAAGCGCTTGTGTTCCCAGCTGAGAAGAAGTAGTTAGATATTTATTGCTTCAATAAATATCTCATGCAACCCAACATAGAAGGGACATAACAATACTGACGCAGATTACTTAGAATATATATAGTTTCATTTAAATGGTGAAAATATTTAGTAAAAGAAAGTGTCTGAACCTCAATCGATCAAATCCATGGCAATTTATACATATATGTATATGTTGGTTCGGATATGACAAAAATAAAACAAGGCTGCATTAGCCATGGCTACTTTGATTTAAATAAGGATGGGAAATGGTTGAATAGGATAGCGGTACCTTGACACGATCTGTGGACTCCTGCTCCTTACTGCCGAGCTGATTAGCTCCATATTCTCGGCTCACGACGCACAGAAATTCAGCATGATCATCATTACCATAGTTATACTGAGAACCTATGTTGATTAACTAAAGAAAAAAAGAAAAAAGGTATCTTCACAGTGAGTCATCGACAATATAGAGATCTGTATATATATGTATGTATGTGTGTATATATATATATATATATATTATATATATAGATATAATTATATATATATATATATAGGGATCTATGGTTTCATCAACAAGATACACAACTAATCATACTTGTTCAAACTTCCATCCATCCGACAATGTAGACACCATTTGCGTTAACTCGTCCTCGTGACACTGAAGGACTCTGTAGACATGCTTTTTGGAGTCTCTTTGTGGTCGAGTATCCCTCAGTATAATTCTTTCTTTGACTAGTCGAATGAGCTCGGTGATATTATAAAACTCTGCTTCCTCCAGTACACCTTCCTCAGTGAGGTCCTTGTTGATGACCAGCTTGCCATGGCGTAAATAATTTAAAACCGGACTAAAGTACGTGGGGTCGCGGTCTATCAAGTACGCTCCCGTCTCGTCCTTAAAAACAAAGCATTTGCACAACTGTTCATCACAGATAAGATCTAGCTGCGCGGCAAGTACGAGTTCGCAAGACGGCTCGCTCGCATCGAGTTTAAGAGTAGGCCGCGGGCGAATTAATCTCGGCCGAGCTTTATTTGAAATTCCCGGTAAGAAACAATGTCAACTAACCCTGTCCGAAATGAGGTCTGAGTCTTCCTGGCACAGCCGATAGAGGAACGAGTTCGGATCTCTCGCCAGGGTGGTCTTTGCCGTTAAAAAATACGTCCCACCCACGTTCAATCGCACCCACTGATTATTGCACCGCTTCTGAACATGATTCTCTGTCATTTCGTGCGAGTTCGTATCAGCAAAGTCGGCCATACTTGCCTCGGCATCAATTGACATTAAGGCAACGTCAGGTTATATTAGATCGCGACCAAGCACAATCACCGACGAACGGTCAGTACAGCGTCTAAATCCTCCCTTCCCCTCTCTCCGTCACCCGTGCACTTCGAATCGAACGACCGACGTGAGAAACGACTCGGCCGTGTGACGCGTTAATTCACACTACTTTTTACAAGTCTGGCCTCGAGAGACCGCCGGAAAGAGAGAGAGAGAACAAGGCGCTCTTCTGTCGATCCCATGAGTGAGCAATCGACACAAAACGTGCGCCATGTTCCGGCGCGAAAGCGTAACTGCGGTGCGCACTGAATCGTGCGTTCACGAGTGAGTCTCACGCCGTCGGCGCTCCGTTGTCGCGACACAAGTCCTCACGGTTCGGCCGTCGGCGTGATTTGCGCGTGTCATTCATCGGACGGCCCGGTTCGAACGGTCGCCATTTCAAGTGTACGTGCACTCGCTTCCGACGCTCCTGGTGTCGCGGTGCTCGTCACTTTGGGACGAGACGCGCGAATGTCGCAACACGCGAGAGGAACTCGCGGCGGGCTGTTCTGCGCGCGAAGTACGTGGACACGAGGACAACGACGGCGGCGCGTTGATGCGCATTAACGGCGAAAGCGCAATACTGCGGACGACGGAATCTAGCTGAAGAACGGTTCGCGCGACATATGTATATGCGCACCATTGCTGTCTGGGTTCGAGGCTAACGGGTATAAAAACGTTCATATACCGCGGATTACCGGCAGTCATTGCGACAGCAGTCTCTCTCTCCGGCGTGATATGCGGGGCGCCGCGTCGCGCGTCGTCGTCGTCATCGTCGTCGTGGACTACGACTAATTGCTCGCTCTCGGGTTCTCCGCTCGGGGAGGAGGATGCCGGTGAAAGTCGACGTGGTGCCGCCGCCGCCCGCCAATTCCAAACAGCCGGGTGTTACCAAGTCCCTGCTCTACAACGGCTCGCGCTTCCAGGGTTCGCAAAAATCCAAGGGCAACAGCTACGACGTAGAGGTGGTTTTGCAGGTTAGCTCTTTCCCCCCCGCCGTTGATCTCTCCGCGCCCTCTTGTCCGCCTCCGCAGCTTCTTCGTCGTCGCCGCTTCTGTCGTCACTTTTTGGAAATTGCACCATGTCGGTGTGCGCGTTACCTTTCGCCTCTGCATTTGTGAGACGCGAACGGATGACGACGACGATGATGCTTTTTCGTCCTGCTTCTTTCCCTCCTCGCTGCACCCTTCTCCCCGTTGCCCCGCAAGACGGAAGAGAATCGTTGTTTTGCTCTGCATGTGGTATAGATCGCACGAAGTAACCTATGATGCGTTGCGTGCGTGTTTGACGTAATCCTTGCGTAGGATACGTTGACAGTTCGTCGTCAATGCTATGATGCACACTGTGCAAGCCAAATTGATTGATCGGCGCAATGATTCAACGACTCTCCGTCTCTGAAACATGCGACTAGAGCCATATGATGCACGCACTACTGCTGTACAATTCTTCTGTGTTTTACAGCACGTGGATGAGGAGAACAGCTACCTGTGCGGGTACTTGAAAATTAAGGGGCTCACGGAAGAGTTCCCAACTCTGACAACGTTCTTCGATGGCGAGATCATCTCCAAGAAATATCCATTCTTAACTCGCAAGTGGGATGCGGATGAGGATGTTGACAAGAAACACTGGGTTTGTTTTCGAAGTCTTATCTATAATACTGAGTTGCCATCATTGGGTTATCGTTTGTTTGTGTCTTCTCTATTTTTCTTTTTCCTTATTCCTTGCAGAGTAAGTTCGAGTCGTTCTGTCAGTATGCCAAAACATTCAATTCCGACACGTTCGATTACGAGGCGTTGAAGGGGACCGACTTTGTATTTATGAGGTGGAAAGAACATTTTCTGGTTCCTGACCACACGATCAAAGATATCAACGGTGCCTCCTTCGCGGGATTCTACTATATTTGCTTCCAAAAATCAGCTGCCTCGATAGAGGGCTTTTATTATCATCGTAGTTCTGAATGGTAAAGCGACAACAAATTACAGACGTCATTATTGCTGACTTGCCAAATTTAATACCTCAAAATTCGAGATAGAAGAAAGAATTAACGATATAACTGGCTGTACTTGCATCTTTGAACGTATAAATGAAATATTTACATCAAACAAAAAATGTTGAATATATATATATAATTCTGTATATATATATATATATATATATATATAATTCTGTGAAGTAATTAAATCAAATTCGATTATATTAATTGATATCATAATTATATTATTGTTTCAGGTATCAATCGTTGAATCTCAGACATGTGCCGGAACATAGCATACAAATTTACGAGTTCAGGTGAAGTCGATACCCTGGCTGGGAAATCTCGATATTCAAGTCTTTTACTATATAGCACAGAGATCTCATAATTTTGGCGTACGAATTCAACCAACTTTCGTGATGTATTCGAGTTTGTTGATCGTGACACTGCAGTAACGAGGCTGCGTATGATGTAACAATGAAATTTGATAAACTAAATGACGTTATACGACCTATATGGTATTAACCATAAAATTATTACTAATTCCTTTATATTACTCCCTCTTAGTTAACCGTTGAACAAAGAATCATAAAAATAGTGAAAATTGAAGTGCTTATTCAATGATATCGATTACAGATTATCTCTATATTGATTGTAAAGTGGATTTTATCGAAATAAATTATTTGACGTCTCTTAACATTTTAAGTTATTTGTATTTGTTATTATTGTGGCATTGTACAAAGACTTTAATATAATTATGCATGATTCAAACAGACATCAATTTGTAAGTTATTGATTTTTTTATCATTAAAGCGATAGGTACGAATTATGTGTACACGAGTTATGCGCGCATGACATTTAAATATAAAAAATTATATTTTTAGAAATTCACATAATTGCATAAATATTGTGCTATTTATAGATTCTTTTAATTTCGTATATTAAAATATTTGTGAGATCTGTCTGCTATATTATATGAAAGGTCATATGTAATTATTGTTCGAATGAACTGTGTACGTATGTCGTAAAGGATAAAAAAGGCTAATCCTGAAAGTTGTTAAAAAAAAATTAAACGTCTTGAAATATCGAGGTTTATCCTATATATTTTATGTTAAAAATATATTTATTTTGTGCAGTCGATCTTTGTCAGACTCTAATAATATTTTATACATACATATATGCATACAGTATGTACATATATATACATATATATAAGTATATATATGTATATATACATATATATACTCGATTTTAAAAACAGATATTAGCCACATGTTGGAACTATTTGTAAAATTTGTCTTCACGTTTCGATTGAGTGTTAATTAAATACTAATTCTCTTAGGAAAATAGTGCATTGTTGTGATAAGCATTATTGTAACACGCATATATACGAATGTATATAAGTTTGCGGATTGTAATAACTAACATATAGCTTATTTAAAAGTTGTATATTGGCGTACTACAGCTTTCATTTGTGCGTGAGGTTTACAAAACTGCTCTCAGTAACCCAGTGATATTGATATTTCAGGAACAGTATACTGTATTCTATATTATTTTCGAGATTTTATGTTTATTAATTATTAAGAGTACTAATATTTTCGTTCTTTGATACTTGTACTAATATCTAAATACTCAGAAAGTAATAGGAGAGTGATAAATATGCTTTTTCCAAGAGAGCATTTTACATATCGATTCGATAAGTTTATGTAGCAGTCATTTTGGATATTGGAAAACGTAGAAAATATATATACGTGCACACACACACACACACACACGCACGCACACACACACACACACACACAAAAGAATTAAATACTTAAAAATATACAGACACATTGTTAAATATGTTAAGTAGACCTTTATTACAAAATGATCCACTGTTATATTTTTATTTATAAGCTGTACATTGTTGTGCATGTGTTTCTTTAAGGCTCCTGGATATTTACTTTGGCTGTCTTTCTTTGATGACGTCAGATGCAAGGAAAATCATGCCAATTTATGTGACGGTATATGTGAAAATAAAAGAATATACGTACAAAATAACACTCGATCGATTCAGCACACTTGTAAAAATGTCCAGACGCTTTCCTTTGACTTAAACAGTTAATAAATAGCCGTAAAATTAATGTAACAGAAATTATGAGAAAAGATAAGTTAAAAACGTAAATTGCATGTTAATTGCATTAATTTACGGCTATTTATTGATTGTTTAAGTTAAAGGAAAGCGTCCGGATATTTTTACAAGTGTGCTGAATCGATCATGAGCGTTATTTTGTGCGTATATTCTTTTATTTTCACATATACCGTCACGTAATTGGTATAATTTTCTTCGTTTCTGACGTCATTAAAAAAAGCCAGCTAAAGTAAATATCCAGGAATCTTAAGAGGTATATATTTATGTTATCAGTTATTAATATCGGCTATAAACGTGCAAAATTTCACATATCAATATATGATTTGCAATACAATGCTATATTTTTCTTTGCGAAAAAAATAATTCGTTTTAAGCGTTAAATCTATAATCTTAGAATTTGCTCTAACGATTTTCTATATAACAAGAAATGTAATACTTGTAATGAACAATGAATTTATTCTGCGGTCATTTTCGAGGAAATTTGAATCTTTCTATTGAAATTAACACGTTCAGAAATTACCGATTTATTTTTACGATTCGACCGTACGCGCTTTAAATTAAAGGACACAATATACAGTAATTATAAATAAATGTAAATCAGAGTCAACGATCACAATTCGTCATTATATCATAATTCTGAATCTTACACCGTGATTTAGAATTACTATAGCGTAGGATGTGTCGATTAGTGAAAGTTATAGTGTTCAGATCAACAAGAAAGTAACATCACAATGTGTTGCCATCGCAAATTTCAGCAATTAAATTTATAAGAAATTTGATCAAATAAAATTTTATTTAATTAATTTAATAATTAATATAAAATTATAAACGTATTTATTATATGTACAGCGAGAGAAAGCGTGCAGAGCGGAATCTATCTTCGGCGCAAAATAAAATTCTGTTAATACACAAATCTAACATTTTACTATTAAATTAGAAACATTTTGTGTCAAACGGGACGGCATTTTCTAATTATTCTTTCCTTAATACTTCATGTGTTTTCCTCCCCCCTCTAGCTCTTTCGTATACGACGGAATTTTTACTGTTGTATAACGAAATATACAAATGTACGAAATGTAACAAATAATGTTAACATTGGTCGCGTGTTAAAGAATGCTTATGTTTTACATAAAGTAATTTAGTTAGATTTCTCTACCAATTATTTAGACTATGCACTGCAACACAGTATAGTGTCAAGTTTATTTATTACATCTCACAAAGAAGTAAGCATATTGTGTTATATTCTTATATAAAAAACAATATAATAGTTTTCTCTCTTTTTATATACATATAATATAATTTAGTTAAATCTAACATAAATACATTTTATGTGCCTTCCTGGCATTGAGTGATTTGTTACAGATATATTGTTAGAAGAGATCATGTGTGTTTATATATACGTATATATAATATATATACATATAC